ATCTCAGCCACTGTGGGCAAATCATCAACATATACCAATTGATCAGGTGGTGGTGCGTATATAACGCCGTAACCTTTTCCCATATCCCATATACATATAATATACGCGTATATAACGCTATTTGGTCATGAGTTAATGTACTTGTATAAATAAATGAAATGTATAAAAAAATACGTTAATAAGATTTCTCGGAATGTATTAAGATCAATATGCCTTTTGGATAAACTTTATCAACTACATATTTTTCTGAGACCCATGAACAGAAGATATAATAATAATTCACATGGAAAATCAAGAACATAGGTCTTCTATGAATAGAGTCATTTATGAAAGCTGTGCATTTGCTCGTTTCATTTGTATCATATGAATCATGCTAAAAGGAAAGAAGGGATGGCCTTAATATACCTTACTTGATGAAATTATCAACTACTTTCACTTGAGCTTTCCTAGAACAAATTTTGCTCCTTTAAATCTTTGAACAAGGACTAAGCACTTCTTTATGATCATGGCATATTTCATGTTGTTGGACATATGGAGTATTATGGATGTATGTTTTTACTATGTTTCTAAAGTAAGAGACTCCCTAATAATAGAAGGAAAGATTTCAACCTTCTTTCTACATCTTAATTGCAAAAGAAGTATAATATGAAGGCTTAAAGGCTTGCATCATAGATTCCCTTATGTCATTCTGGAACATCAAGCGAGACATCACATTGTCTCTTACTCTCTTAACTAGACCTCTCGATACCTAAAAACCATAAGCTGAAAGATATGCCACTAATTACACCACTATCATTCCTGGATACTGAATCCTAACGCTTCTAACCCTCTATCTGAAGTATAGATTATTCACAACCTTCTGCACCTGAGTATCTCGTACGTTGTTCACCTTTACCTTACTTACCTTAAAATCTCGCATCACATATTCTATCTCTTTCATGACCTCCCTTCCACATATGTATAATTCACATCCACAATTTGAAGCTCTATCATAATACTTGCACCTTTGGTGCATACACAATCCGGTGGGAGTTTCATACTGACTTCTTAAGAGGCTGATACTCTTCTAACTGGCTTTCTCGTAGAGCCGTTATAGAATATGGTTATTATACTATCTCTCTTGTACCTCTGATATTAAGAGTGATCCTGCAATGTTCTCAATCACGATTTCTATAATTTCTGGGTCCAATAATCAGACTCCTGATTTACTTGGTTGATGTAACTCTTTAGTTTCATCTTCCTTCTGATTAGCCTTTATGTAGGCTTAAGCTATCTTCCAATCTACGGCTCCTGCTATTAGTCATTACTTTAGCCTTTCATGGGCACTATAGAATATCCATACAGCATATATGTTGACAATCATACAGCCGTAGAAGACTTGTACCCGTCACGGCCCATTGGTTTGGGTTGCGACACTTTCCCAATGGCTTTTCAACTAATTATTTTCTAACTCTTAAATGTATCAATAGTTTGATCTTTTATTCTTATTAAACTAAAATCCATTTTCTAACACACACACACAC